AAATGAGGACAGAGTGCACTTTAGTATGAGGGATTGCCAGTAAAAAAAGGTGTGGAGATGAGAGATGGAGTGTTATGTGTGAGGAAGAGGCAATTTATTGTGTTACAGTCTTGGTGGGGCAGTGGAGTATGTATTTGCAGGGGTGGGGAATCAGCAACTTCCAGGTCACATGTGGCCTTCTAGGTCCTTCAGTGCGGCCTTTTGACTTGAGTCCAAGTTTTACAGAACAAATCCTTTTACTAAGGATATTTGTTCTGTTAAGTTTGAGTTCAGTCAAAGGGCCTCACCCAAAGACCTAGAGGGCCACATATGGCCTGGAGGCCCGAAAGTTCACCCCCCTGGTGTATTGTATAAAGCTGGAAAGGGAAAGTAGGGCTAGATAAATGGCTTTATCTTTGATTCTAGAGGCAGTAGGGAGTAACTGGAATTTACCAAGTAGGGGAGTGATATGGACAGATCTGTTTTTAAGGAAAATCACTTTGGTAGCTGTATGGAAGATGTATTGGAGTGAGGCAGAGTTCAAATAAGGGAGATCAATTGGGAAGATACTGAAATAATCTAGGTGAGAGAGGACATAGGCATGAACTAAGGTAGCGAGCAGAGATGAGAATTTGAATGACAAAGATATTATGTAGGTGGAACAGGTAAGATATGGCAACTGACTGGATATGAGGAGTTAAGGAGAGTTAGGAATCAAAGATTTTGCTGATGTTATGAACCTGAGAGAGTATAATGATGGTTCCTACAACATAAATATGAAAGTCTGGAAGAGGGGTAGGTTTTGAAGGGAAAGAAAATGTGTTGTTTTGGACATGTTGAGTGTGAAATGCTCTGGAATATGCAATCCGAAATGGCCAAAAGGCAACGGGTGATGTGGACTGAGGCTCAGCGGAGAAACTAGTTCTGGATCTATAGTCTGAGTCATTTGCATATAAATGACATGCTCAGGAGCTGTCAGGGTAGAAAGTATAGACAGAAAAGAAGGTTCAGAGCAGAGCCTTACGGAATGCCCACAATTAGGAGGCATCATACAGGTGAACCGCAAAGGAGACTGAGGAGTGCTTAGACAGGGAGAAGAACAAGGAGAGACCATTTTCACCAAAATTCAGAGTAAATGTATGAAAGAGAATATTGGCAACAGTGTCAAATGCAGCAGAGTAGTCAAGAAGTCTGAGAAAAGACTATTAAATTTGGCAACTAAGAGCTCCTTGGAAATGTTGGAAAAAACCGTTTCAGTCACATGGTGAGGTCAGAGGTCACATTGCAAAGGGCTGAGGAGAGCCTGGAAGGAGAGGAAATGGAGGCCCTAAGAGTAGGCAGCAGGCAGCTTTTTCAAGAAGGCGGCTGGGGTGGGGGGGACGGGGGACAGAGGACAGGCGTGGGGGAAGGAGGGGATAGGATCTAGTGAAGGATTTTTATTTTTCAGGATAGAGGATGGAGACTCGGGCAAGTCTGAAGACAGGGGAGAAAGGCGAGGGGAAGGGGAGAGAGAAGTGACAAAGAGCTACACACACACACACACACACAAAGAGACAGATAGAGAGAGAACTAAGGATTCAGTTGGCTGCAGAGGTTGGAAAGGGTTGTGATCAAGGGCACATGTTGAGAGTAGAGTTGGGAGAGACTTTCAAAATCATTGATTATATGCCCTTAAATAAACAGAAGAGAAAACAGAGGCCTAGGAGGTTAAGTGGCTTTTACAAAACCAAAGAATCAGTAAGGGGCAGAGTCAGGTCATTTGGTTCTAAATCTGGATTATCTGCTTTTATCCTGCTTAGGATTCTCTACATTATTCAGTGTTTTATTGGATGAGACTATCTACCAAATTTTACTGTTAGACTAATGATAAGGTCTAAACTTTTGTTAAATTAGGACTTATTTAATGTCCTGCTTAATTTTAATCTGCTTGCTCTGAATCTCTTATACAATCAACATTAAGTATATATTTTGAAAAGAAGGAAGGAAAGCATTTAAAGGCCTATTATGTACCAGGCATTGTGTTAAGCACTTTACAAATACCATCTCATTTGATCCTCACAACCACCCTGGGAAGTAGGTGCTATTATTATCCTCATTTTACAGATGAGGAAACCAAGAGAGACAGAGGTTAAATAACTTGTTCAGTGCCATAAGAAATGATGAGCAGGTTGATTTTAGAAAAACATGGAAAGACTTGCATGAAATAATGAAGAGTGAAATGAACAGAACCAAGAGAATATTTTATACAGTAACAGCAATATTGTTTGAAGAATAACTGTGAATGACTAAGCTATTCTGAGTATTATAAATATTCAAATCAAGGAAGGAAGATGCTATCCACCTCCAGAGAAAGAACTGATAAATAGAAGCATGCATAGTATGGTTTTAAATAAAATGCAGGGTGAGGAGGGAGGGAGACAGTTCAGAACTCAAAATGTAACAAAAAAAATTAAATTAAGAAAAAAAAACTTGCCAAGGATCACACAGGTAGTGTGGTGAGGCTAGATTTGAACTCAGGTCTTCCTGACTCTGGGCCCAGCTCTATATCCACACTGCCATCCAGCTGCCTAGCATGATATAGCTGAAAGAGCTGTGGGCTTTAAGTCAGGAAGACTTGGGTTCAAATCCTACTTCTGGTAGCTGTATAAGCTTCATCAAGTCCTTAGTTTCTACCTAGTCATAGGTGATAGATGCCTTGAGATCTACCTTGTTGGAGGAAGTTCTCAAACTGATGAAAATGCAGTCCCTTCATGTATTCATGACATTCTTAACCAGAAAACTGATTTCATAAAATCTACTCATTTTGGTTGCCATGATTTATCAGAGCTGTTTGCTAGACATAACTTAGATACATCATAGAGATGATAAAGTGTAATGGGAGTTCCACTCAGTTTTGGGACACTTACCTTGGATGAGTGCTGTCATGCCAGGTGACAGCCTAGTACACATAGCTAGCCCAAAGCCCCGGTTCTGCTTCTCCCACCATCTTTCTCCCATGTCTCCCTAATGTAGCACTTTCTTTTTTTTTTAAAATTAACTAATTTGGTTTTAGTTTTCAACATTTGCTTCCATAAGCTTTTGAGTTTTAAATTTTCTCCGCCTCCTTTCCCTCCCCCCTCCCCAAGACAGCATGCAATCTGATATAGGCTCTACATATACATTCCTATTAAATATATTTTCACATTAGTGATATAATGAGTAAGAATTAGAACTAATAGGAGGAACCACCAGAAAGAAGAAACAAAATAAAACAGAAGAAAAAAAAAGAGCAAACAGTATGTTTCAATCTGCATTCCGACTCCATAGTTCTTTCTTTGGATGTGGATAGCATTTTCCATCATGAGGCTTTTGGAGATGTCTTAGATCCTTGTATTGCTGGAAAGAATTAAGTTTATCAATATTAGTCATTGCACAACGTGGCTGTTATTGTGTACAATGTTCTCTTGGTTCTGCTCATTTCACTCAGCATCAGATCATACAAGTCTTTCCAGGTTTTTCTGAAGTCAGCCTGCTCATCATTTCTTATAGCACAACAGTATTCCATTACATTCATATACCACAACTTGTTCAGCCATTCCCCAATTGATGGGCATCCTCTTAATTTCCAATTCTTTGCTACCACAAAAGGAACTGCTATAAATATTTTTGTACATGTGGGTCCTTTTCCCATTTGTATGATCTCTTTGGGATATAAAGGGTATGCACATTTTTATAGCCCTTTGGGCATAGTTCCAAATTGTTCTCCAAAATGATTGGATCATTTCACAACTCCACAAACAATGCATTAGTGTTCCAATTTTCCCACATTTTCTCCAATATTTATCATTTTCTTGTTTTGTCATCTTGGCCAATCTGATAGGCGTGATGCGGTACCTAAGAGTTGTTTTGATTTGCATTTCTCTAATCAATAGTGATTTAGAGCATTTTTTCATATGACTATAGCTCCATTTTGCATTTTATAATGTTCTTTATCTCTTGTTTGGTCATAGATTCTTCTGTTCTCCATAAATCTGACAGGTAAACTATTCCTTGCTCTCCCAGTTTGCTTATAGTATCAGCCTTTATATCTAAATCGTGTACCCATTTTGACTTTATTTTGACATATGGTGTAAGATTTTGGTCTGTGACTAGTTTCTGCCATACTCTCTCCTAGTTTTCCCAGCAGTTTTTGTCAAATAGTGAGTTCTTATCCCAGAAGCTGGGGTCTTTGGGTTTATCAAATAGTAGGTTAACTACAGTCACTGACTACTGTGTTTTGTGTACTAACCTACTCCACTGATCCACCACTCTATTACCAAGTAGTTTTGATGATTGTGCAGCACCTTCTAAACACGATTCAGCAGAGCACATGTCTGGGAACAGCTAAACCATTTAATGTTGATATTCTTGCAGTGCAGTTATATTGAGCTGATTGGTGAGAACCCATTATATCTCCCTGAGTCCAAATTCCTAACCATGCTTCACCACTGCCATCATCTGTTTCCTATTCCTTTCTGCTGCTGTTTCATGCCTTTGGAGAGGATGCTTCCCCTCCCCATTTCTACCTCTTGCTCTGGGAAAAGTAATCAAATCAACAATTTTCATTGTTTCTAGAAAGGAAAGGGGCGCTATATATACTTCAGTGTTTGTCATTAAATTTAAGTAAAAAGAATTAGATTTTGGTTTTTAAAAAGATCATATTCTCTAGAAAAATGAGCAAGTAGCCTGTATAATAATAAAGCAACTCAGAATAAGGGAAACTTTCTTTATCTTAAAAATAAGAAATACTTAAAAAAAACTAAACAACTCATTTGATAATAAATGCAAGCCTTTTTGTAACATGTGAACTTGAGTTTGTAAATGAGAAATGGATAGTTTAAAATTTTATATGGTACTTACGTAAAACTCTATAAACACTGTGTACTATTTCCAAGAATTTTTCTTCTCTCACAATTTATAAAATATTTTTAAATTTATAAGTGGGTGCATGTCCACGTATGCCAGAATACTCTTCTAGGGATTAAACAAAAGAGGGAAGTTACCTGTCTGGAAAAAGACTCTAGAAATGATTGTCCGGCACAATGGACAGGGTGTGCTCGTCGGGTTGTCTTTGGCCAGGGTCCGGAGGCAAGGTTCACAGAAGATGTGGTGGCAAGGGTAGCACATATATGGGTTGAAATAAACATCCAGACACACAGCACAGATGTAACTTTCCTTTTCTTCTGTACATTCATTATCATCATCTGTACTCACATCATTATTCAAAGTCTATGAAAAAAAAAGAGAGAGGCCAAGTTCTTCAAATCAGCATAAAAGAGGTTTAGAATCACTACAGAAAGGGGAGGTTTCCTGTTATATCAATGAACAGCCTTTGTGATTAATGTAGATCTGCAGTTTTTCTAGAAAATATCAGGAATGGTAGAGATATTTTTACAGAAAATGGTGAAAAATAAAATAGTACATGGAACTCAGATACCTAAATAAGAAAAAACATCTGGGCAGGATGAAAATTTGCAGGAACACAACTGCAGCCAAAAATATGCATGCTCATATGAACACATATGTTTCTATCCAAACTACTGACATTTTGTTCAACAAATCTTAGACATCATGAGTTTAACATTAAAACTTTATTTTAATAAAGCTGGAGCCTATTCAGATTAGTTGACTGTCACAAGAGTGTGTTGACACAGCACTTTGTTTTGCATCTCTATGACACTTAAAATGAACTAGTGTGTGGAATAGTCACATATCGTATTTGTCTCTTACCTATCTTCTACACTCTAACCTCTAGGAAGGTTAAGATATTGTGCTTTATTTAAACTTTGAGTCTCTCTCAGTGACTAACTTCAGTTGCTTAATACTTTTAAAATATGAATTAAATCAAAAGTTTGGCCACCCAAATAAGATCACACCTCCTGTCCTATAAAGCACTTCTACTTTATAGTTGCATGTCCAGAAAGGGACCGAGAGCATATGAGACAGTGGCAGCAAACACTGCATGTTTTTTTCGTCTGGAAGCTATGCTGCTGGTATCTCATCAGATGTGAGAAGCTATGATCTTTTTGAGCCTTTTCCCCAGGTTCAGCAGCTTATCACGTTGACAATGTTTCAGCAATGACAGGCATTTTTGCCTTCCCAGGTAAAATACAAAATTCAGGTCATTTGAAGACTCTTCTTTCCCTCCAGACCCATATGTTGGAGACAAACAGAGATGAATGAAGAATAATCCAAAATTTTAGTATGTTCTGGTCATAATAATTGTGTATGTAGTTATTTGAAATGCAAGGGAGGAAAACAGTACAACTGTAATGAGCTTCAGGACAGAGACAAAAAAATCAGTATGCTCTTACAGGTCTTGAGTCAAATTTTAATCATTTAGCTCCTGATTATTCAGTTTGTGATTTATCTAAGTGCTTTTTTCCTTCTCTTTGTTTTTCTTTGGTTATCTATTTATTGCTTTCCCTCCCCTCCCCCCTTTATCAATAGCACTCTTTATCAGGGATATCAATGTTAAGGAGCAAAAAGAAAAACACAAATTGTACCATTTATCAAATCACTCTGGCTAAGAAGTAGGATTTTTTGTATGTGCCAATTATAATCCAGGATATCCAAATCCAAATTACCCAGGATATCTGTTAGCCCTAACAATCAATAGCTCATTGTACTTTTCAGAGAACATTAATGGGTATATTTGGAACCTTGGTGGAAGTTCATTTGTTGAAATTAGAGGTTTAAAAGGAGTTTCAAAAAGTCATTTTTTTCACATAGTTCTGTACCTAGGCAAAAATGCAATTTAAAACATCTACAAAGGACAACTTTCTATTCAAGACAAATCTAAAATATTTGGATCTCTAAAATGTTCACAAGGCATCGGGATCTGTATACGGCTGGTCAACATAAAGATGTAAATGAATCAGATCTCTCAAAGTTTCTTGGCCATAAAAAGCCATTTTAGCCAAAAATTTATGAGTGTGGCAGAATGGAAGCTAGATTAGTCAGCAGTCTAAGGCACAAACTATGGACAATATACATTTCAAGACACATAGAAAAATGGAAATCTAAATCTTTCTAGTCCAGGGAAATAAATGCCAGAGGAAAAAAAAATCAGCCCTGTACACATCTGGTAACTTAGCCTGCCTAAACTGGGAATATTTAATAAAGATTATCACAATTAATAATGAAGTTCAGGTAAATTAGCTAGCCTAAACCATGACTGTTTAGTAAAAATCATTTTTTACTAGTAATGATAAAGACGATAGGATACTATATTGGGAGGTAAGATCCTTGGCTTTTTCCTTGACTTTCAGAATAAACAAGTTTGCAAACCCAAGCGAGTCTTTTAATGGAGGCGCAGCTTCAGTCTTCCTTTGTGATTATGTGGGAGTGTGAGCGCATGCACGTGTGTGTGTGTGTGTGTGTGTGTGTGTGTGTGTATGCACGCTCAGCATAAAGAAATAATCAGAGGCCAGTTTCTGCTTGTTTAACAATTTCATTAGTGGAAAATTCAAGTGTAGCACATGTATTTCTGCCTATATATTTCCTATTTGCTAAGAAATTAAGTTACCATACATATTTATATCTATCTATATTTCTTCCTTATTTGTTCAACAAGCATTTACTAATCATCTACTATTGGCCAGGCACTGTGCAAAGCACTGGGGATACAAAGTCAAAAAATGACAGTCTCTACCTTCTAGGAGCTTATATTCTATTGGAGGGAAACAATACATACATAGATAGGTAAAAACGAAATCCAAGTTATCAAGGACTGTATGAAAAATGCCCAAAGTCAACAAAAAGAGAAATGTAAAATAAAATAACTCTGAGATCCAACTCACACTTGTCAGATTGAGAAAGATGACAAAAATGGAAAATGGCAATTATTGGAGGCCAGGCAGAGTAATGAACATTCTGTTGGTGAAGTTGTTAAGTAGTCCAGATGTTCTAGAAAGCACTTTAGAACTATACATCCAAATTCACTAAACTATGGACCCAACAATACCATGTTCCCCACAACTTAGAGTCTTAGAGAGTTGTCTAGACTATTGAGAGTGACTTGCCCAGGGTCACCCAGCCAGTAACCTGGGACTTCCTGAATCTGTCTTCCTGACTTCAAGGTCACTTTCTCTCCACTACACCATAATGCTATTCATGTTATCATGGAAGGTACTGACTTACACTGGGAGACCAATGAAATCACAGGTCCAAACCCTAACTTTAACAAGGTTTTTAAACTATCACTATGATGAAAGAGAGGGACCACCCAGGGGAGCTTGGGCAGGACTATGGCTAGGACTACAAAGTAATTAACTAGCAAATATTTCTTGTTACATTTGATTTTTACGTTTGAACTGTTTCAATCCTTAGAATAGTTACTGACTGCCGACTCTATGTAGGGTACTGGGTTAGATGATGTGAAGGCTATAAAGCTGAGCAGGACACAATCGTATCCTCAAAGAACTTAGAAAGAACAATGTAATAGAAATATAACATGTGCAAAAGGAACAAGTATAACACAAGGCCGGACCCTGCATGTTTTGCAAGGGTGATAAAAACTGTCAATATAGAAATTCAGAGGACAGATTTCTTTTGGCTAGAGTAGTCCAAAGAAAGCAGTAATATTCAATTTGGGAAAAACGTAAATAGGCAAATGACAGGAGGTGAGGGCGTTGAAGGTAGAAAGAGAAGCACAATCAAAGGATTACGGCATCTTGCTGTGGGAGGGCATCAGAGAGCATTATCAATTTTTTATTTTATCCTACGTGTGAAAAGATTCAGGTTCAAAGAGGGGAAGTAATGGACATGCTCAAGGTCACACAAGGTTGTGAGAGTCCAGGATTTGAACCCAATTTTTTTACTTCAAATTCAGTGCTTTTTTCACTACAGGACGCTCTCTTTTGGATGATTAGCAAGTACACCACTCCTTTGCAATGAGTAAACAGACTCTGTGAGAAGTAAAGGCCAGATAAAGAGATCAAAATTAATTGTGTGGGGGCAGGAAAGGGCAAGAAATGTTCAATCAACAGCAAAGACTGTCTCTTGTCTGGACTATAGGGTATGCTTGGAATATGGCTGGAAATTATCTTGGAAAAGTCAGTCAGGTCAGACTGGGGAGTCCTTGAATAATATAAAACATTAAATTGTATTCAGAGGAAATATTTAGAAAACAACATTACCAAATTAAGGTAAACTATACAATTTTCTAGAAATACCAACCTAACCAACATGAATAACAAAGGCTTCAGCATAAGAGCCCAGGAAGTGAAATCAACCTCAGAGCTTACATTTCACAAAAGACAAATTCTTCTAGATGTCAAATCTGTATAAAATGAGACTACAGAAGGCAATAAAAGATTAACAGAAAAAAAATCAAGGCAAATATTTCTTGAAAATCCTTGTTTTACCATTTAGGGGGTAAAGATATTCTATCTTTTCATTATGATTCTGATGGCCTTGAACCATTTAAACATTTAAGAATTCATCTGACTAGAGATGATAGATTAATCATAAACATTTATTAAGTGCCCCATATATATGCTAGGCATTATGTGAAGTGTTGGGGATATAAAAAGAGGCAAAAGACAGTTCTTGCCTTCTAATGGGGAGACAACATGCAAACACACACACACACACACACACACACACACACACATGCATGCACAGAGTTATATATGAGGAGTTAGGGAAGTCTTCCTGTAGAAGGCAAGATTTTAGTTGGGACTTAAAGGAAGCTAGGCAAGTCAGTAGTTAGAGTGGAGGAGGGAGAACACTCTCCCTTCCCTTTTCCCAAAGCACTCCTCATTTTTTTTACATCATTTAAACATAATCAACTCATCCCCATGCCTTCTATGTACAATCCTTCTAACTTCCCTAATAATGATAAAGTTCTTAAAATTTATTTGTATCATTTTTCCATACAGAAAAGTAAACAATTTAACCTGAGTTTCTAATGATTTCTCTTTCATATTTACTTTTTTAATGCTTCTCTTGAGTCTTGTATTTAAAGTCCAATTTTCTATTCAGCTCTTTTCATCAGAAATACTTGAAAGTCCTCTATTTCATTAAACACCATTTTTTTTCCCCTTGAAGGGTACCATTCAGTTTTGCTGGGTACGTTATTCCTACCCAAGACTGGCAATGCCAGTAAAGGACCTTTTTAGCCTCACAACTCAGAGTGCAAGTCCTCTGAGTAGAATTTGATTTCTTCATGACATTACGTGTATTTATATCTACCATAAAAATGAGTTATTGGCATATGTTATAAA